AGTAGAATGTAAGATAAATGTTTATGCTTTCGAATAATGATTGTCGTAACTCACTTTGATACGTCACAATATTATTGGAACACTTTTCCATATGGTAAAACTTGATGAATTTATCACTGAAAAAACAGGAAAATTAACCAAGAAAAATGTATATACCAAAACTGAAACATGCTTAAAAAAGGGTACAAACTCAAACGTTAATCGCTCTATCCCTTATTAAATTTTACTCACTTTTACAATTAATGGAATAATTTCCATGCAAAAAGAAAGAGAGAGAGAGATTCCAACTTTGTCTTAAAGGGAAATTATGTGTTGGGTTGAGACGAATCATAAGCAAGTCAACGTTTTTGTATTTATATAGTGTAGATTCTTTCACATTTACATGATCTTTTTGGAACAATTTTTGGAAACTTCACTGCAATTTCTCTCTGGTGTAACACATGGTAGCTACTTTTATTGTTTCCACTTTACTTTTATTAACCATTGAAGTCAATTGTTGAAAACAACATTAAGGTTGGTGATAGAGTAAAATAAAATACACTTTCAATATGAGATTTAAGATTCGGTCATATATATATATCAAATACAGCTTTAAAAAATATGATGTTTAAGATTAAGATATACAACTCAAGTTAAACATTAATTTTTATTATATTTAATAATTTTATTAATTTTTTTATTAATATCCTTATACATTTAATACAAATTAATAAAAGAATATTTTTATAATATAATAAATTTATTAATAATAACAAATCCAAACTATTGAAAATATTAAACGTGTAAAAAAGAAGGATGTATACATGACTAGTTAATATTTAAGAAAAATATTAGATTTATTATTAGAATATAAATTTACATCAAATAATATCTTATGTAAATATACGTTGAAGGTAAAATATCTGTTAATTAATTATTATAATATATAATCTAAGCAGGTTTTAAAGAATAATATATACAAATATTAAAAAAATTATAATATATTTTTTAATAAATTTAAATTGTTTTTTTTAAGGTCGTGATCCAGCTAATTCCCTCTCTCCACCCTTGCTATATTCTATAAAAAAATAGGTTTTATAATCAACGTTAACGTCTCATAATGTATATATCATGTAAGGAGAAACACAAACTTAAAAACATATGAAAAAGCAAGTGTTTTATTTTAAACGATTGAAATTTTATGTAAACTAAAAATATAATTAAATTAGAATATATAAACAGAGTAAAACCTTCATCTTATATTTTATAGGATTCCATTATATTTCGTTTTTTTTAATACAAATATTAATACACATGAAAATTAGAGTGATTAAGGAAAGATGGTGAAAATTAGATTTCAATGGAAGATAAAGATTGAGTGATGCAAAACTTTTAATTGGCAAAGCTAACTACAAATTCTACTACAATGTTAATCATTATCTTTCTTTATTATATACTATAATAATATCAATGAACTTCAAGAAAACAACATAATACACTCACATTTGTCCAACTCAAACATTCTATTGCATTTTTTTATTACATCACTAGAATCAACAAGCTTCAAGAAAACAACCAAGACTAAAATCAAAAGTAATACTAAGTGACCCCCTTTTTCATTGTCGAACCAAACAATAAGGTGTAACCTTATTTTTTTCATTCACTCTTGTATTTTCTAGTCTAAGATATGGAATATTATCAATCATTTTATTCAAAAAATAAAAAGTGTAAGGCTTCAAACCTGGATTATACTCTTCCACAACTATCAAACATTTGGATAAAAAGTAGTTCCTTACTCAATTATTGATGAAAAAAATGTCATAAAGAATATTACCATTTATCCTCAAAAATTATCCTATATTAATCAAGAAATAAGAGAAAAATAATCGACTTAAGAATATAAGGTGAAAATTTTAAAAATTGAAAAAAAACTATGACCGTTATCTAATAATAACTATTATATAGTTACTATCACCTACTCTATTATTTATCCAATGTGATGTGAGACTTTTTAAGATGTAATATTTTTATTAACCTAACAATTATTAATGCATTGATATATATATATATATATATATATATATATATATATATATATATATATATATATATATAATCAATTGCAAAAATTTCTTGAGCCAACATTTATTGTCTTTTGTTTGATAATTTTAGGTTCTCCTTCCATCCCTTTTCTAACAAATGAATCATACTATTGTTCCTTTCTATGCACCATCATCTTTATTTTCTACTTCTTTCAAATCACCAACACTTTTTTTTTTACCTTCTTTTACTTTTCTTTCCATAACTTTGACAAATATTTGGCTACTATACCATGACATTTGTACAAACCACTCACATTTTTGTTTTTATTCCAACAAGATGATGTTGCATTCTTGCAATTTCATCCAAAAAAAACAGAGAATAAAATTTACATCTCACCCGAACAAACTAGAGAACAAAATTTACATTTCATTTGATGTCTATGTATTAGTGTTTTTATCTTTTAAATAAGGATACCCATACACAAATATATGACCACCAAATAGTACTACACAACAAGAATACATGTATCAAAAGTGAGTTATATATCTTACAAGTAATATGATAAACACAATCATCTCTTAATTACAATAAGGATCATATTAAAAATATTACATTTAACATGACAATTGAAATATTTAATATACTAAAAAATATATGAGGACTTTTAATATTCTTTACATATTTTATGGATCTATTGCTCTCAATCTACTAGGGTCAAATTTATTAGTGACAATTTTGGATAATGTGTCGAAGTGTTAGCTTCGATGTTTAATTAGTGTCGTCATTTTAAAGAACAAGAAATAGTGTAATATATATATATATATATATATATATATATATATATATATATATTATGTAATTGACTTATTTCTAATACTTTTCGGAAATTTAAAACTAAGCAGTCAACAACATACACAAATTTCCTATGAAATTATTTGGGAATATATCCACACATACACAACAACTATTTTAGGATTTAAATGCAGTTTTTCCTATTGCAAGAAATCAATAATTTATTAGGAACAATAATATTTTCCGAATTATAGTGAAAAAAAATTACAAGAACATTTTTTGTGAATTGTGTAAGAAAAAAAAGAGATTTATATGAAAATTGTTCTCGTGGATGAAAATCCAGAGTTTTTAAAAATTTGAAAAGCAGAAGAATAGTCCTCTAACTGTGCATGCTAAGTTATCCTAAAAGAAGGGCATGAGCGCATGATGAAGGTTGGTAGCAGAAGAAAATTTCTTATCGATGAAGAAACGACACTGATATTTATATTTATATAATATCATGTCATGGTTGCATTTCATTCCCTACTCACTGAGCCATCTGAGTGCGATTGAGGCCCACTTGCAAAAAGAATAAGTTGTTTTTCACTCTACCAAATTTGGGGTCTCTGCACCCAAAAAAAAAGGACCTCGTCAAAGAAAAAGCAAGGCAAAAATAGACAAAGGAAACACGTTAATTAATGAACACCTCAATTTTGAAGTATTAATTATTGAAGCATTAAAGCTAAGAGGCAACTAGAAGATTTTGTCTAGCGACTTGAAAAGATTTTCATGATAAAAAAGTTGGATAAACACACCATTTCATGTATTCAACTCATAATGTTGGTGCTGTGCCCAAAAAGGATCTGACCACAACTTTAAGCCTTCAATTTACCCCATGGTGCTCTCAGTTTATCAAAAAAGTAAAGCAATTAAAGAATACCACCAATTATATATATATATATATATATATATATATATATATATATATATATATATATATATATATACTAATGCATTATATGTGACAATTTTGCAAACTTTCTTTCCCCTTTCATGCTTTCTTTCTGAATTACTTGTCTCATCTTTCTTTAATTACTCAACTTGTCTCATCCTTTGCAAAATCGCATTTCCATAAAAATCTGACATATTAGTGGGTGACTCAATGGGTGTGTTTCATTAGCAGACGCAAAATGATTCCAGTGAAAAACTGGTATATATCTAAAGGCAATGCATTTTCGTTTGACCAGTAATGTTTTCTAAATTATTCTTTAATTCAAAACTATCAATAATTGATATCATGAGTACATGCATACTAAATCTGTTCAAACTTTGCACTTCAATTATTTAAGTAAAAAGATTTTAATTCACAAATATTACTTTACTCCTTTAATTGCTAGTTTTGTTTAATCTCGATCTTATTTCAATTATGTAAAAAGTAAAGATTAGTTTCAGGAAGTTAAACCTCAGAGAAACTATCCAATACTATATTCAGTGATTGAATGAGCTTCATTTTTTGGCATGCATTTAAAACATTAAATCATTTCTGAATACTTCGTTTTTCTGAACCATATAGATGAATTGGAGTGAAGTTTATATTTTCTGAACCATGTATAAAAAATTACAATACACATAATCAGAAGCTTTAGGCTCTGCAATTAATATAAGATTTGCTCTAACGTGTGAAGTCCACAGTTTACTTATTAAATATGATTAATAAAGCCTTGGAACATGTTAATCTACGAGGTAGATGGTTAAGCGTAAAAATATTTTTACTTGATTATGTAAGCTGATTCCACCATGAAGCAGGAATAGACAGAGATTAGCCATGTTGGCACACCCACGCATATATATACAGTATAATCATACCTTTCTTTTTAAGATTTGCCTTCCATGCATGGGAGCCACTATCCCCTTTTGATGAACAAATTTACAGACCAAGCCATTAAAAAAAGAAGCTTATAGGTTAAGAAACTTCGTCCACTCAAAACCCTAAAAATAAATAAAACAAAAAGAGATGAGAATGAGGGAATAAGCGCAAAGTAAAGAAATTAAAGCCTCTTCCTGCTTTCTTTCCTCCACCCTCCTCCTCTTTAATGCTCTTTTTCTCTTTCTTTCTCCTCTCTGGTATTCCCTTGGTGTGATTCTCCACCATCTCCCTAAAGAGCCATCAAACTTTATAAAAGAAAACATAAAAGCATTTGAACACCATGGTTTTCTCCTCTATTCCAGTCTTTGTAGATCCTCCCAATTGGCAGCAGGTAAGGTTTTCCTCAATTTTCAGCCACAGCTTCTCAACCCTAAAAGAAAGTGAAAAAAAATAATAATTGCAAAAGATAATTATTCCTATTCCCTGTAATATCTCCCTGAATATACCAGATTTTGTTTTCATCTTACTAATTTTTCTCCCCTCCTTTTTTAATTCCTTTTGTTCTTGATCTGTTTTTGCAGCAACCAAACCATCCTCAAGCCAATGGCAGTGATAACACTCAGCTTCTTCCGCCTTTGCCTCCACAGCAGCCTCATGTGGGAGGTTCTGGGGGTTCAATCAGGCCAGGTTCTATGGCTGATCGAGCCAGGCTAGCTAAAATACCTCCTCCTGAACCAGCTCTCAAGTGTCCACGTTGTGAATCCACCAACACTAAATTTTGCTATTTCAACAACTATAGCCTCTCTCAACCACGCCACTTCTGCAAGACTTGTAGGCGCTATTGGACAAGAGGGGGTGCTCTAAGAAACGTTCCTGTGGGTGGAGGGTGCCGCAGGAACAAGAAGAACAAAAGGAGTCGCTCTAAGTCTCCTGCATCATCTGAGAAACAAACACTTTCTGGTTCTTCTGGTGCACTCCCCTCTGGTGGAACCACTCACGAGCTTATAGGCCAGTTGCCACAACCACCAAATCTTCCCTTCATGGCTTCCCTCCAGAACCTGAACCGTTATGCTGTTGGAAACATGGGCCTCGGGTTGCGTGAGATTCACGGACAGAACGATCACATGGGGTTTCAAATTGGTGGCAGTGGTAATCCGTCTGCTGGTGGAGGAATGGATCAGTGGCGCTTGCAGCAAGTTCCTTTCTTGAATGGTTTTGAATCAGCTTCAGCTGGTTCATACCATTTTCAAAATGAAAGTATTGAAACACCTTCTGGTTTGGTTGGAGATTTATCAACGAATTCTAGGGTTTCTCAGATGCCATCAGTTAAAATGGAAGAAAGTGCAGCCTTGAACTTGTCAAGATCACCACTGAACATCTCAGAAAATAACCACTACTATTCATGGACTGATATGTCAGGTCTTTCCTCTTCTTCAGCTAGTCATCTCTTGTAACTTTGACCATATAGATATATACACATATATATGGTCAATAACCCCACCATCCGAATTGAACTTCTTTGCGAGAATTGTTAACTACTTCGAATCGATCACACCATCGTCCTTGATGGATTAGAGAAATTTTCAAACGATTTGGATGTTCCACTGAACACCTTGCCTTGACTTCAATCCAAGTTCCACTATCATCAGTTGACAGAAATTAACGCAGACATGGTAGAATTGATATCCTCTTCAATTCCGGTCATTGATTTGTGCTTATGTTTTTTTCTGTTTTTTTTTTTTTTTCATCCAGTTGAGTATTTTGTGTGCTATATACATGGGCTTGCTTTAATTGTATAACTGTGTGTGCATGTAATGTTTTGTGTTTCTTTCTGCTATCTGACACTTCGTGATATCATTTGCGTACAAAACTTTCTCTTAATTTACTTCACACCTTCTGCCAGCTATACATCGCGCTAGTTATCTCAACACTTTTTTATTTTATATAAGCGCTAGTTAACTCAGCATTATCATACTAGTTTTCACCCACATAAGATTATCAGATCCAGCTGACACGATCTAGCACACATATCAGGAAAAAAGAAAAGTGATTACAGTACTAAAGAATGTGCCAGCCCTCGTTAGATTTAGCCGGAGTAGTATATCTCGGGATGAATTTATTTGAATTTCATGCTGGAGCTAGCACTTTATTTTCCTATCTTGCAGAGTTTATACAAGTTTCTTATTTTCTCAACTGTGAAACATTATCAATGCAAAGCATTAGCATGCATATAAATCCCATGCTGCATGCTTGTTTTTGTGATACGAATGTTTGCCATGCATCTTGGAGTGGACATGTAGCAATAGCATACACAAGTTGGATAATTCAAGGTAAAAGATCTAAGCGTCTGACACTATATAAAGATGATGATTTATTGTAAGTAACTTTTTCCTTCTTACTCATTTTTTTCCCCTTTTCTTTTCTCTTTAGTCACTGAGAGTGTGAGTACTTTAGCCTGCTTTTGCCAGTGCCCAGAAGCTGGAGACTCACCCTCAGTCCTTCTACAGTGTGAATTCTTGGAAACCTGAGTGCGACAGTTATTTAATGTCCCCAGAGCTAGTCTTACTTTTCCTCAATCGTGGTAAATTTTGTTTCCAAAGCTTTGTATCGTACTTTTAGCATAATAGAATTGGGTAAAAGAAATCCATTAAGATCCTTTTCGTGTCAATAATTTACGTGATGATACATGCGATAAGAGAGAAAGACACAACTTCGTTACAATAGAACTTTTCGTGCAGTATCCAATTGATTTAACTTGTGTGTGTTTCGTTCTCTACCGTGACATTGTTATATTAATTTTTTGTAAGTATTTAAATCCTTTTTTCACATATACAATCTCTATAACAAGGATAGGACTAAACTCAAACAAGTAATTTGGTTACATATATAACAAAGAAGAACGTTTGTATTTTTATATATAGATTGTAGACATGCATCAGTCAAGGGTCAAACATATATAAGATGTCGCAACTATCAGATTATATTCATAAGATGGGACGTGCATGTTTGTTTTGATTTGAGGTTGAAAGTGGAAGCCAAAATGCAACCATTATAAGAAGACGCCAAAATCTCACTCAAAATCATGCAATTCTATATTCGACCAAACTGGCCTGGGTGACTATTCTAGAACTTCTTCAGCGGAATGATGCAAGATAGGAACAATTGATTGTTAATTATGAAACTCCTTTTGGGCCATGTTAATTACGCACTTGAATACGAAAGGAAAAGGAAAGTGATTCTTACGGTCAAAATAAGTGTGACCTTTTTCTTCGTGTTGGGGTCACTTCTCATTATCCCTACAAGCCTCTTTGGAATTTAAGTTGAAGAAACAAACACAGTCCATTCCACAAAGATCTCCCCACACTAATAATTACAAACTTTATTATTTTATCCCACCATGAATTGAATGAATTATCAAATGATAATAAAAAAGTGGCATCATTGTGGTGATGATAGCTTTTGTAAGGACCAATGCATGCTACCTTTGAAGAAGGAAAAAAGCAACAAAAGACTAACACAGACAAAAGCTCTCTCCGTGTCTTTGGACGCAGGCAGTAAATGGTCACCCAGATTCCAAAAATGTCGGTGAGTGTTGGTCTCAAAGAAGAAACATTTTGCGAGAGTTAAAGGGAAAGAAGGTAAGAGCAGTGTGGGTTAAATCTGCAGAGTTTCTCTGCTACGTACGAACGAGGGGCTCAGAAATTCATGCATGCTTCATGGAATGGTGTGTGATCTGCATTCTGCATGCCCCTCTGTCACTTTGTCTTTCAACAGTGTTTACAAGCATAATTGCCCAAACTTTCAACCTTGATCCTTCGTAAACCTACGTTATCTCCATGTGTGGCAACCCTCAAATTAAAGGGCCCCTAACATATGCTTCCTTTGTCTTACTTTACTTTTCCCCCTCTTCATTACCCTCTATCATTTGCATCTTCTCATTCCTTTTCCCCTTCGCCTTCTTCTGTTTCTACGTTTTCTTCCCTTCCTTTTCCTTTTTACTCATGCGTGGGACCTCTCCACCTATCCATGGCAGAGACCGTTACCAACTTTACTGAATATATAAATATATGTATGCTGCATGTATATGTATGTATGTATGTATGTATAATGAGATCCTAAGCAAGGAAGGATGCAAAAATGAAACGGAAGTGTAGGCTATGTCACGATCAATCTTGCAAACTGACCTAAATACCATATATAGTACGTACGTATATCATACTTATATGTATCTTGATGCATGCATTATTGAAATGTCGGTGTCAGAGGGAGCAATGGAAGAAGTAAATATGTTGCAATAAATTTATATTTTGTTGTAGCTTTTTTGGTAGAATATATGCTAGAAACATCAATGCTAATTCAGAATGTGTTTTTGTAGGGGAAACTTTGTTTGTGAATGTTGAACCAAAATGAAGAACTTTTTTGGTTTTGAAGTGAGGATTGATCCAGATTTAGAGGGTTTGATCTTTTTAAGAAATATTTTATGGACCTTCTCGGAGAAACACAATCGGAGAGGGTCAAATTGTAATCTTGGAGACGAATCCCTCAAAAACCGAAAGCTGCTGAACAAAATCAAGGAAAACGACACCGAATTAATTGGGAAAGTATAAATTTGGTGGATTTAAGAACTAGATTCTCAGCTGCCATTTGTCAAAATGAAGCGTGACATACGTTTGATTAGAAAAATCAATCCAATTTTTTAGATGCTACATGCTGGTGGCTAGAAATAGAAATTATATGTGTTCTGAAATCTATTTAAATTATTTTATTTATTTAATTATCTTTGTTAAATATTATTATATTAATTATCTTTTATTTTTTATTAGTTATTATTTTTTTTAACTATTATTATATTTTAGATCCTATATAAACAAAGTTAATCAGATAAATCTTATTTCATCACTTATTCTCAAATATATTATTTTCTTATTTAAAAATTGACTTTATTATCAAAATATCTTTTGCAAGTAAGTTTATATTCTTTTTAAATAAATTTATTTTTAATCATCTTAAAATCATAATTCAAAATCTGATTTAGAGATTTTTTTAGTCCAACCTCACCTCTCGTTAACTTCAGTAAGAATAAAAGTTATTGAATTAAATTTAAAAAAAATCATGAATAAAAATAGTTTGTAATTGATTGTCTTATCTCATAATTATTTTATTTATTTTTTAGAGTTTTAAAATTTTCATAAACTGTTATATTTGTCTAAACTATCATCAATTTAAAAACTCTAATAAGAATAATTGATGATTTATTCCCCGTACTAAAAAAAATATAAATTGTGGGTTTTATCGTATACTTAATTTTATTCTAATATACTATTTTTAAAGAACTTCAAACTTCTCCGTATAAATATTATTTTCATTTATTTTGATAAGATGTTTAATTAAAATAAATTATCAATATTTTAAAACAATGGACTATATCGTTTAAAACTTGTTTAATAAAAAGTTAATTCCATAGTATTCTACTAAAAAGTTTAAACTCTATTACGATGCATAGACTTAGGTAACTCTAGTTACGTTAAACTCTGGTAACGAAAAACTTCACTGTAGCAACAAACATTCTAAGGACTGAGTTTTTCCAAGAAATGACAGTGTGGTAACGTACTGAAGAATCCAAGTTCAAAAATTGTTGTGCACATGACCATGACTAATCAAATATGAGAATCTGGTTTATTGGATTTTTGAAGGTCCAAACCAAACCCAGATATATATAGATTGGATTTCAAATCTAAATTTGAATTTTTTAAAATAATAAAGCAGTTTTAAAGCTAATTTTGTCATAACTAGTTTTAGAATACATATATATCTTTTAGTAAACAATTTTGATTTATAAGATCTTAATTCATTAATATCTTACAAAACATAGTATAGAAAATAGTAAAAAAATAAATATTATAATAACTAACCTGTTTCAACATCAGTTCTCCATTTGACCAGCTGATTAAAGAACTCCTTTTAATATATATATATATATATATATATATATATATATATATATATATATATATATATATATATATATATATTCAATAAATATTTATCGGATACAATTTTTTAAGATGTTCTAATAATATGTTGAAATTTAGATAAGAATGCTAAATTGTCTAAATCATACATCATGTTTAATTTAAAGAAAAGTGTAGAAAAAATTAGTTAGGAAAAATTATTTAGATGCCTTCAAATCGTATAAGAAGGAAAGAGAAAAAGGAATACTAATATGGTGGCATTAGTAAACATGAATTTTTTGAAAAGATATGAATAATTCTAAAATGTTAACAATTCTAAATTTAAATATATGGAAAAAATATGTTTGGATTTATATTTGAAACACGCAGTAAATAAATGGAGTAAATGGGTCATGCAAGGATATCCAGAACACCACCACCCTCCTGGTTAAAACCAATCACAAGATGTGATGAAATTGAAAATTGCAGCAGCCTCCACATACACAACGTGTCAAACTGTGGTTGACAGTAAATCAGATTCATTATTAAATCGGGTCCTTTAAAATAGATTTCAAAAATAGTCTGGAATGGATGGAGCAAGTATGGGCTGTTCTTGGCTAATTGATTTGCTTAGAGTCTTATAACGTCAGAACAATATTTAACAAGGAATTTGTTATTTTCTGATCGTTATTTAAAGTTAACTTAAATTTTGCCTTAGTTGTGCTTAATAAAATATTATACTCACTATCTGTTATTCCAAACACCACCTGAAAGGTTTTAAACCAAACTCGAGCCGAAAAATCATACTTTAACTGTTTTCATGAGCACCCAATCGTGCCTTTTACTTCAGCTTTTTTATTGAAGGGTTGGAATTGCAATAATTGAATTTCAAATCACTTGGGCATAATAACTACCATTTTGAAAAGCTTAAATTGGTAGATGAAAGAGATACAGCAATGACTTTTACACTTTTATAACATCTGTAACATCATGTGATGCGATGCGAATAAACAAAACATCTCTTCATTAAAATCTGAGGATGATTAGAATATATAGTACATGTTACAGTTATACATTCATTGTCCACATCAGGCGCACCTTGCCCTTTTGGTTCGATTTCTTCTTACGCCGCTTTCATAATCTTTTTGCATTACATCTCTGAATATCACACAAACAAACAAATAACTTATGGAGTAGGAAGGTGATCTTCCACCCTTTCCTCCAAACAGATGCTTCTTTCAACACTTTAAAAAGAACAGAGGGACAAAATGACGGGGTATAACAAGACATCTTAGGAATCATCGGGGTTAGTAATGAAAGGTGGTTGGGTATCTTCGTTCTGGGCTTGAGTTTCAGTTTGTGTTGGAACTTCCTGCTGTTGCTCAGGTAACCTGCTCATACGCTCTAGTAATTGTGCAGCCTTTCTTTTGCCTCTGTCTGTACCATTTTGAGCCAACTCCAACAGTGGACCCATCACCCCCAGCTCTTGGGCTTGTACTAGATATTGTTGATCTCCAGAGCAGAGGTGAACTAAAACAGCAGCTGCATTCTCTTTGTTCCTTGGGGAACCAGACCCAATAAACTCTACTAAAACTGGCACTGCCTCAGCAGCTCTAATGGTAGCCTTCCCATCAGGATGGCTGGCCAATATTGCCAAAATAGCTAGTGCTTCATCCACCATTCCCCCACTGGGTTCAGTCAGCAGTCGCATCAGTGTGGGAATAACGCCAGCCCTCACTGCCTTTCCCTTGTTTCCCTGGTAAATGCACAAATTGAAGAGTGCTGTTGCAGCATCTTTCTTACCCCTTTGGGTACCCTCACTCAGCAGTGTCACTAGTGGTGGTATGGCACCTGAAGATCCGATCGTAACCTTGTTTTCATCTATAACTGAAAGGCTGAAAAGTGTTGCTGCAGCATTTTCCCGCGCTTCCATGCTTCCCTTCTTCAGCACATGAACTATACCTGGAACTGCTCCTGAAGAAACAATGCTTCCTTTGTTATTTTCATATATGGAAAGATTCAGAAGCGCAGTCACAGCATGTTCTTGAGTGCGGGAGTCAGGCACTGACAAGAGACCAACAAGGAGAGGTATTGCACCAGCTTCAGCAATGGCAACACGGTTATCTGCATTCCGCTTTGCAAGAAGGCGGATCTCACCAGCAGCTGATCTCTGGTCTTCAGGACTGCCAGATGTGAGCTTTTGGAGAAGACTGTCTATCTTACTTCTCTCAGCAGGTGAGTAGGCTGATGCTGATTTACTTGGTTGTGAACTGCTGTGTCGTTTAGGTGGCTCTATGCCATTGGCTTCACACCATTGTGCTATGAGGCTTCGTAGGACATAGTTGGGTGTGAGAACGGTGCTAGTGAGAGTCTGCTGTGTTTTGGGGCATGTCCCGTGCCCTGCTTGCAACCACTTCTCAATACAAGCACGCTCATAAGTCTGCAAATGAGAACTAGAGTGTATGAGTGGGCAATGTGACATTATAAGTGAAACAACCAGTTTCTAAACCATGTTTCCAAATTCAACCAAGATGCATGTTTCAAAAAAAATCCATGATTATATAAAGCAATTGTAGCCTGACAGAATTTTGAAATAACTTAGGGACCATTAATTTTGCTTTTAAGTCTTTCTTTCTCTTAAAATGATCCTCTCGTGTTAATGAGTAAAATTAGAAAACCCTCATCCAGAAATAAATAGATATCTTAATAAAATTGTACTGGAACAGGGTGCCGTTTTGTGGCATTTTACATTCAAGGACACATAAAAGAATGACCCGATATTTCAATTTGCCAAGTAAGATAATGGCCAACTACACAATATTTGCAGCTTAGCTTCCACGGAGCCTCATATAGTGCACATACCTGTCCGGTTGAAACAATGACAGGATCCTTCATTAATTCCAGGGATATTGGACATCGAAAATCATCAGGGATAACAGGAGCCTGATGACTCTTTTCATTTGTCCCAACTCCATAGACTTTTGCAAAAATGCCTTTTCCTCCTAAATTATCATCCTTAACTAGATTTTCTGTTTGAACGTAATCCTTTATCTTCTTCAGTAACATGGATATTTTCTCGATCCGTGCCCCAGGATCCCCACCACTTGATGCCACCATCTCATGCAAAGCAAGTGATTCCTGTGTAAGATCAGCTATTCCCATCAGTTGCAATTTCTCAGCTAATCGACTTAGAACAGATGGATCTGTAGCTGCATCATTGCTGTTGTTGTAGAGGGACAACATATCCTCATACAACCTAACATCTAGTTCATCAACCCTCCCTTTAGCTCTTCTGAACTGGGCAAGAACCAGTTCAACCTGAAAGTATTGGGAAAATTAAACAAGATTTGTGTAAAATCCAAAAAGAAAATAGACATCAAGAAGCTCCACAGTGGTGCAGTACACATTCTAATTTTAAACCTAACTAGAAGGTTCAACAGATTATTGGTTGAATAACTTATCCTACTCAAGGTGGGACTCCTAACATTGTCACTCCCTTTAATTTGGTAGTCCAACTCTCAACGAAAGCACCAAATATTAGAACTTAAAGTATAAGATGAGATTCAAACCCAAAGGACTAGTCTTTTAGGTAAGAGAGTCTCAAAGCTTAAGTACCACATCAAGTAGCTTATCGTACTAAATATGGGAATCACTATTTTGCATACATACAATAGTTTATATATATAATTGAAATATTTATACCTGCTCTTTAACTTCATCTGATATATCAAGTTTATCATAGGAAATACCACCCAGTGACTGTTCCAACCGAGCTGTCACCTCGTAGAATTTATTCATAATTCCATCCCGCTCAAGGACCTGCAAAACAGGAATAAAGACAACTGAATAAAAATCTAAGGAAGTATTAGTCATTTCATTGGAAGCACGTTTCATAATGTTTTCTTTATCTGAAGATCATTCAACCATAATTGTAAGAGGTCCAATTTATAGGAGAGATGGGGCTGTGCAACCCCAGGTCAGAACAAGCATACTCGAATCCCTCTCATGAAACTGTGAGTGAACTAAGGTGCTCAAGTAAACATAAAATTAATACAATACTAGCAAATATTAACATTATTATTTAGAATTCTAGATTTTTAAATAGTTCTAATTCTGTAAATTGATAATTTTTTTCTTGTTGCATATACCCACATTAGTTTTTACTACTTCAAAGTCTGACAAACACAGTATATAATAAATTTAGAAGCACGGAAAGTGTTTTTATGATAATTGATCCCAGAATTTTGTACAGAATATTAAAAAAATACCCTTTGCCTACCACTGCATTCTACCTTTAACTTTTTCAGCAAAGTTCCACACAACAGATATAGGTTATCCAGAGAACAATGGTCCAAACCGTTAGGATCATGTGGTACAATTGCCACAATGCAACAAACATACCAAAGTAAAACAAGTGCTAGACTTTGAAATCCATGAAAATTTCAATAAAGAGGCTTTAAAGTAAAAGGTGCTAGTCATAATCCGTAGTATATATTAGCTTCTTGTCAACCATGGAAATCAAACATCACCCAATAAAAGGTTTGGCACCCTAGATCGACAAGTACAGCCGGTTCAAAAGGGGAATGCCCAAAGTTTGTGCAACCCAATATCTTCAAATTTCCTTTGTAAGCTAGGAAAGTATCTCAAGCAAAAGAAGAAAACAGAGTAAAAAAAAAATTATTCATAAAAGGAATAGGATTCTTTTCATTGACATGCACACCCAGGTGCAGCCAGGCACAAATAAAAAATCTATCAGGAAACTAGCACTAGAAATTATCCAAGGTCTTGAACAGTTGTAGGCAAGCTTTAAAAAATACGATCCATCTGCCACAGCTATTTTAGCTGCATTTAGCCGCAACTTCAGCAAACCAAATAAAAGGAAACAAGAAAACTGTAACAGGTAGGAGCTTCCTTGGCTTAATTTCCACTTACCGTGGAATCAAACATCCTCAAAGCTCAATTCACATTCAACCAGCACAATAATGCGATCAAAAACATCTCATAAAAGAGGCACAGTTATGTACAAAAAAATAAAACAGCTTAAGAAAAATCACACAAACTTAAGATGAACTCAGTGTAGCGGTGAAAATCGCCACAGCCAATACTACTCAATAGAAAGCAGAAACAAAAGAATAATAAAAGAATTAAGAGCAAGAAACAAACCAAGTAAAGCTTGCTGCCTTCACTTCCGAATCTGAGAAGTTCCTTGGCTGATTCGAGAGCTTCCTTGAAGGCGAGGACCGCTTTGGAAGTGTCCTCGGGGATGGCGTCTTTCATGTCCCTAATCTCTTCAAACATCGGGATCAGTAGCTTCAACCTCCGCGCCAAGTTGCAGTACTGCTTCTTCACCGGAGGCCTGTAATCGGAGATACCCGCTACCTCGTTCACCAGCTCAATCACCTTGCTCGCGTTATCGTCCTCCATGGCCGCACGTCTCAGAACCAGACAGATCCCTCTATATACCGTTTAGTGGAAAACCCTTGCCGATTGCCGGAGATCGAAGTCGCTGCTCATAGCAGCTCGTCAACGACAGGAATTTTGCAGACACTTTGGTTTGAAGAGATAGAGCAATAAACGCGTAATGACACGCCTCTTCTAATTATCTCTCGCGGCGGCGCGGCTCCAGCTGAATGAGCTGAGTGACCAGGTCGGCTTAGGGTAATGCAGCTTTTGAACAAACGTGAGATTCTGTTAATTCAGTTTAACAGAATTACGAGTTACGGTGTAATAGTGATAGTAAAATACCAGAACACATACAACTACGACACAAGAATGAGTCTTTGATGGCGACGGAGGAGGTGGGTGACTTTTCTCAGTCAATTCAATGCTTGGGACAATGGTAAATATTTCTATACTTTCGTTACCGATGTTGTAATTTTGTTTATTTATTTATTATTATTATTGCTCTGTTTTTATAATTTTACTTTTTAATTTGTACAAGATTTATAATTTATTTCTATAACAATACAAAAATACTGTTAAAATAATAAAAATATATTATTATATTTATAATATAATATTATATAATATATGTATGTATTTTATAATATTTTTAATAAAAGAAAAATTATATATATACTAAATTTATTGTAGTACTAATATTATTAGTCTTTTATTTGAGAAATATGTTAAATTAGAGTATAAAATTTGAAGTGTAAATTAAATCAGATTTATTTTAGTGTTATATATTTAGTTCATGATTTATATGTATTTAGGTTATTAATTCGTAAATTTATGAATTAATTTATTTTATAAAATAATTATTATTATTTAAATAAAAATAAAAATATTATTATTTTATTAATATATATAATATAAATTAATGAAATAAGATTAATTTATTTTAAGAGTAAATATTAAAATAAATCTCTAATAATAATTTATTTTAAGACTTAATAATTAAAATTAATTACAATTTAAAATTAATAAATTATTAAAAATAAATAATGATAATAAAGAATAAATTTTTATTTTTATTTTGAGATAAAATAGATATATTCTCCTAATATATATATATATATATATATATATAATTATATTTAATTTTTTAAAATATTTTTATTTAAATATTACTTGAATGGATTTATTTTTAATAGATATGTTAATATTTTTTTAAAAATTTAATTGATTAAAATGAGTATGTTAATTTAACATAAAGTGATATTAAGTTAAAATTTTTGATCAATTTTAAAATATAGATAAGATTAAATTATATTGATGAATAAATGGTAATAAAAATATAATGTAATATTGATGTGTTAGGTTAATTGTTGGTATATTATAATATTAATAATAATGAGAGATGGTGTAATATTAAGGTTCTTTTTCGGATAATGGATATGAGGAATTGAAAAAATAATAGATTTAAAAAAATAAATTAATCAAAGTGAAATTATTTGAATTAAGAAAATATAAGAAAATAAGAAGAAGGTTTGTGAAAAAATTTGTATTATTTATCTATACGAATGATAAAAAATTATTTTAATAAAATAAATTTAAAGATGAGCAAATTACTTCTTTGGTGAAAATCAATTTTCAAGATTTGGAAAATCGGTTCTCAAGATAGTTTAAAATCAATGGAATACTTGCATAAATTGTACAAAATAAGATGTGTCTCGTCTTATCTCATTGTACTCATAAACCTTTATATGCTCTCTCACTCTCCCTCATATTCACTATAAAAAACCATGAAGCTACTCTGTATTCCATTGATGGAAACAGTACTTCAATGAAAACATCACATAGAAAAAATTTAGTGATTAAATTATTTGAGGTCTTTATATGAAAATAAACCTTTTATTATAACATCTAAAAAATATAAAAATAATAGTAATAATAACATTTTAAAAAGTTAGTATTTTATGAAAATTAAATTATTAATTAAATATGGATTTAATAAAAACACACTTTTAATATAATATTTTGATACATGATTTTTTTTTCAAGATTTTAATATATGGTAAATTTATTAATTTTAGAAAAATGATATCAAAATTTACATAAATTAGTTGGCAATATAACAAATATTAATATTAATAATATGTAAAATTAAAATCATCATAAAAAAAGTTATTATATAAAAAATATTTAAAGATAAAAAATATTAATTAAATTAGAAATATTTTTAATTAACTTAATTTTTATTCAGAATATATACTTATCTTTAATAAGAGGGGGTAAGGTTTTAATTATTAATTAAAAATTAAAATCTATTTAAGAATTATATTTCTATTTTAAAATATTATATTTTAAATTTTAAAAAATATACTATATTAGAAAAAATTCAATATAATTTATTAATTATTATATTAAACCTATACAATATAGTAAGGCTTATATATTTTAATAATTATAATTATATTATTAATAATAATATTTTTATATTATTAATAACTTTAATATATTTTATTAATATTTTTATTAAAATTAATTATAAAATAAATAATAAGTATATTTATATTATTAATTAAATAATAAATATTATTATAGTAGTTTTATGAATATTATTATCATAAAATTATTTTATAATTATTAATATTAATATTAATATTACTAAAATAATATTAATAATATTAATAATAATTATAATAAGATAGTATTAATATTTTAAAATTAATAATAATAGTATTAATAATAAAATAAAATAAATAAGAATAATATTAATGCTAATATTACAAAAAATATATTAATAATAAGATAGTATTAATACTAAAATAATGTTATTAATATCATAATAATCTTAATACTAATATTATTAAAATAATATTAATAATGAGAAAATAATAATGATATTTTGATAATAATAATAATAGTAATAATAATAAAATTCATTTTATTTTAATATTAGTAAAATAATATTAAAAAATAGTTAATAATTATATCAACAATATATTACTAATAAATTTTTAAAATAATATAATAGTATATATTATTTAAATTAATTATATAAAATAATAATTATTAATTATGATAATATTAATAACAGTAATAATAATTAAATATATTAAAATCATTAATAATATAAAAATATTATTACTAATAATATAATAACATAATAATAATAATTAAATGGTTTTATATAATACCGTTTAAATATAATATTTATATGGAAAGCATATTATAATTTGAATTTTACTTAAAAAATAAAAATTGTTATATAATATGATTTTTTATTTTAAAGTTAAATTTTATAATATAACTTATTTAAATAGATAATCTTTTAAAATTTACCTATTTGGATAATTTTATTTTTCTTTTAAAAAAACACTGTTTTGATGAAAAGACAGCATAAGTATCAACATACCTGTTGTTAGATTATGACCATATATAATTTTGAATACAAACAGTAGATAAAATGATAACAAGTCTAACTTGGTTATGGAGGCCTTAACCACTCAATCATTAAAAAAAATGACTGGCTGGAGCCATCTGGGTGGCCCTTGGTCACAAAAGCAAGCGTGTCTGCTTCACCATGAACTGCACAATCAGAGGTAAAGATGAAATTTCTTCCTAATTTTTTTAATCTATTTACATATTTATAATTTTTATTTTTTTTATTTTTTAATAAATATTAAAATAAACTACTAAGTAAAAATATTTTATATATTTTATTTTTATCTTTTTATATTATTTTACTATTTATTAATTATTAATGTATATTATTTAGAATCTTAACATTATTGTTAAAAATCTGCTATTGACAATATAGCGTGGTGAAACCTACTTAATTACATGATTTTTTTTTTGACAAATATACACATATTCTAAAACTAATATATATTTTTCAACTTCTACCTTTTTATACAAATACACAATCTGTAAATTCCAAACTAGGGAAAATAGTTATTTTATGTAGGGGTATTTTCGAAAAAGTTTTGCATTGAGTAAATTTTGTTGCAATCACAATTTTATGAATATTGATTTCAGGTTTTGTAATTTATTTTTAAATACTATGAACAAATGAAAATATAAAATATAATTTTAAGCTTTTTTTATTTTAAAAAAATATTGTATTATGTAATATTTTTTTTAAGTTTAAATTTGTTCTATAAAGTCTTATTTGAATTAATTTTGTTTAATTATATTAATATTATGAATGGAAATTAGTATGGACAGAAGAATAAATTTATAAAGATAAAAATTATATATAACGATTATCTTAAAAAAGTTGATAACAAACGTAAAAAAAAATGGAGTTAACAGAGAGATAAAGATAATAAAATTATATTCATTTTAAGTATATAACTTATGTTATATGAATATTTTTTAATTACTTTTTGAGTATTTTTTTTAGTAATTTTTATTTTTACGATCTTTTATTTTATTATTAATGTTGTATAGTAGTATTTTTTATTAATTATCATAAAAAACATTCATTTAAAAGAGTTCGTTAAATCAAGTCATTCTCGACTATAATACTTAGTTTTAGATATATATTATCATGGAAATAGTTCGTGTTTTAAAAATATACAATCTTTTTTTTAGGTTAATAAAACAATAATTCACGATAATGATGGTAAAAAATTAATCACTCTACCTTTTCAAGTTCAAAATGTTAAACTTGATTTCTCTTGCTTTGATCAAACTAACATGCTCTAATAATTTTAAAAGTAGAGCAATTATCCAATTACTATAGAATATGTAATAAACAAAGAGTGATTATAGTTACAAAAGGTTATCCCTTGGCTTTAAATGATATCTCACAATAATCATTTTCATTCGATGATATATTTTAAGTGTGCATTGAAATTAATACAAGCTCATTTTCCTATAATTGTCCTTGTTTCAATATGTTAAAATTAACTCAAGTTATATGCATGAACAATGTGTTTAATTGCATTGTGAATTGTGTAAATGTCATTATTGTAGATGCTATTTTAGATAATTTGATTTAGATCCTAAAACTAAGATAAAGAGAGATGTTA